GCGTGCTGAATTTCAACTTAAACGAGAACAAAACTCAGTTGTGATTGTTTGTTTTATTATAATTATAAAGATTCAGAACTCAAATTCAAGATTTTGTGAAAAGTCATTATGCCCATTTCCATTTTTTAAGTTGTGAAATAAAAAATAATTTATTATTGGTCCCAGTCATAGACAACTATCACATCTGTGTTTCTAAGAACAAGATTGGATCTTTAAAACATCAAGATGCATAATATTTCTTTAAGTATTTCCCGTTTATCGGAGCATAGGCCTATCGCCCTGACAATCTACCAATTGATAGGACCCTTCGGAGTAAACCTTCTCAACCACGAACGGTCTCTCCCAAGTCGGTTCGAATTTACTTCCTATCTTGCGGTGTGCAAAAATAGGTCGTCTGAGTACAAGGACTAAATCAACGACTTTAAATGTTATTGGGCGGACCAGTTTGTCGTGGGTCTGTATCATCTTCGCTTTGTATAACTCCAAATTTTGTCGCGCTAATAGTCTTTTTCCCTCGAGACTTCCAAGTTCTTCGAGTCGGAGTTTGGCGTTCTCTCCTGTTGTTATCTTGTTTGTCACCGCTATCCTGAGGGACGGGAGTTGTACTTCCAGGGGAAGCACCGCTTCGGCTCCGTACACGAGGGCATATGGTGTGGACTGTGTAGGAGTTCTGAATGTTGTTCTATATGCCCACAAGGCTTCTAGTAACTGTTCATGCCATCGTCTCTTGTTGTCGTCAAGTGTCTTTTTCAAGATTTGCACAAGTGTTTTGTTAAAAGCCTCTCCAATCAATGTCGTGTCGTTTAACGAAACGTAAATTGTGGAATATCTTCAATCAATGCCGTGTCGTTTAACAAAATTATTAATTTTGGTGCTTTTGAAAGCCGAACCGTTGTCTGAAATGATTCTACGTGGGATGCCAAAACGATATACAATCTGATCTTTGAAAAATTGAAGGACATGATCTGCTTTGACTTCTCTTAACGGTACTGCCTTTGCCCATTTTGAGAAATAATCTGTTGCTGCAAGTATGAATCTGTGGCCTTTTGAAGACGGAGGGTCTATTGGACCCACTGTATCTCTGCCCCAACTCGAATGACCATGATGCAATTGTAGGATGTAGCACATTCGGAGGTTGATGCAAGACCACTCCGTGCACTTGGCATTGGTGACATTTCTTAGCGGTTTCCATGCAATCGGTCATCATTGCTGGCCAGTAGTAACCCATTCTCTTGATTTTCATTTTCATTTTCGGGCCCGACTGGTGAACTCCACAAAGTCCTGCATGTGTTTCCTTGACAATATCATGTGCTTCTGTCTGGCTTAAACATCGCAACCACATTTGATCGAACGATCTCCGGTATAAAACATTGTCCACCATGGCATATGACAAGGCTCTCTTCTGTATCTGATGTGCTGCTGATTTATCATCCGGTAGTTGCCCTGTTCGCAAATAGTCTATAAACGGTTGGCGCCAATCCTCTGTAGACTCAGTCACTGCTATCAATGCTCCTTCCTTATCTTGTCTATGGAGAGTATCCATGTCAATTTGGGATAGAACCTGGAGTCCTTGAACTGTTATGTCGATGGAGTCCTCTTTTGCGCATGTAAATTCCTTAGCGAGCTTGGCCAAAGCGTCTGCAAGAGCGTTCTCTCCCCGAGGAATTCTATACAATGTCACTTTGGGAATCTTTTCTAGTAATTTCATCGTGTAGTGGTGGTACTGTTCCAATTTGGGATTTAGGATCTTGTACCGTCCGACTACTTGTTGAATTATGAGTTGTGAATCACCATATATGTCGATGTCTGTTATGTCCACTGATATTGCTAACTGCAGCCCTGTTATTAGTGCTTCGTATTCTGCTTCGTTGTTTGTACATGAATCTGTTAAATGGTAGGAAAATCTTAACATTCCTCGATCCGGTGTGATGAATATTAGTCCAATTCCTGCTTTGCCGGGCACTATTGTTTGCATTCCTTTATCTTTCCTTGCTGATGAAGCTCCGTCAAAGTACAGCTCCCAGCGTTGAATATTGGGGATTTCTAGGCTCATTATCTGTTCGTCTGGCAGGTCGTCGTTGAGAGGAGATTCGGCCGGTAGTGGGTGCGCTGCGAGAAAATCTGCTAACACTTGCCCTTTAACAGTTCGAAGGGGCACAAAGGTTATGTCAAACTGCAACAATATCATTGACCATCTTGCCAACCTTCCAGACAGTGTCGGCCGAGTCATCAAATATTGTAGCGGATTAAATCTCGAAATAATGGTGACCTTATGAGAAAGCATGTAGTGTCTGAGCTTTTGAGCGGCGAAGGTTAATGTCAAACAATGTTTCTCAATAGAAAGATACCTCACTTCCATCGGAATTAAACGATGACTAAGGTAACCTTCGTCGTAAACCAAAGCCAGTAGGGCCCCGAGAGAATCGTCTAAAGTAGCGGTGTAAAGTTTCAACAGTCTGCTCGAGACTGGTGCCGCTAATACAGGAGGTGACATTAGGTATTGTTTAATGCTTTCGAAGGCATGTTGACATTTCTCGTCCCAAGTGAACTTGACGTCCTTTTTATTAATGCTGAAAATGGCTGACAGGGTCCTGACAGATTAGATATAAAGCGTCTTAGATATGCCAATTTCCCCTGGAAAGATCGTAGTTGTTTCAAAGTCTTAGGGGGCGACATTTCCAAGATGACTTTAATCTTCTCTAGATCGATCTCAATTCCACGGTGAAGAACAATAAATCCCAAAAATTTCTCGGGGGTAACGCCAAAGACACACTTTAAGGGGTTCATTTTAAGATTAAATTGTCGCAACCGTTCGAAGACAATTCTCAAATCAAGCAAGTGATTTTCTTTCTGTTTGCTCTTGATGACCAAATCATCTACATAACATTCTACTTGGTTATGGATGAGGTCATCGAAGATTCTTGTCTTGGCTCGTTGGTATGTTGCTCCAGCATTTTTTAGTCCAAACGACATCACTGTATAACAATATATTCCAATTGGTGTTCTGAAGGCGGTAAGTGTTGCATCTTCCGGCGCCATCTTAATCTGATTGTACCCGGATGATCCATCCATGAATGAGAAAATTTCATGTGACGATGCGATGTCCACCATTAGTTATGGGATTAGTAATGAGAATTCATCCTTTGGGCATGCTTTGTTTAAGTCTCTGAAGTCAACACAGACTCGTATTTGTCCATTTTTCTTCCTGACTGGCACTACATTAGCTAACCATGTAGGATATTGCTCTTCTCTTACAAAGTTAGCCTCTATTAGCTTCTTGATTTCTGCGGTGACTGTTGCTCTATCTCGAGGTGCATTCTTCTAGGAGCTTGCTTCACCGGGATCATATTCTGGTCCACTCCAAGTCTATGAACTGCAATTTCAGGAGCTAAACCAAGCATTTCCTTGTAGCTCCATGCAAAATAGTCTCTGAATTCTAACAAAAGTTTGACCAACTTTGTAGACTCCTCGTCACTGAGTAGGAAACTTATAAAAGTGGGTCTAGGCTCCTCTTTGGTTCCGAGATTGATTTCTTTCAATTCGTCGACTGTTGACTTTATTTCTTCTTTAAACTCGGGTGGAGCGTCCTCTATCGGAGAGTCTTCAGAATCATCTTCGACCCCGAAGAAATCCTTTCCTGATCCATTAGTAACAACCATGCAAAATTCCGTGTCATCGACTGGTCCTACTGTGCCGAACCCAATACCTTTTTTTGAGTTGTGAGTTCGATTGTTATTACTCCATAGTTCCTCGAAAAGGTGTAACCTGTCTCTCGATAATTGCTTAGGTACAAAACCCTGTTGAACTAATTTTTGAACACACGGAGAGTACCATCCAACAGGTAATTCCATTAATTCATTAGGAGTGTCTTCTTCTAGTTTTTCATTGATTCCAGAACTAGAAGAGGAAGAACCACGAAGAAACCTAACTGGTTTTATACCCACATTTTGTACTTAACCTCAAAACCCTCAACTTTGTGAGAATGGATGGGGGTCAAGGTCATGGCTTGTACATAGTGGTTAATTCTATCATACATTGACTCATACTCACTTTTTTCTTTATTTTCCAAAGAGATAAATTGAGGTTTTTCTTATTAACCATCATTGCATCATTCTCGATCTTATCTTCCTCGGAGCTTTCTTCCAAGTTAATGTTGATGATTGGATGCCTACGTTCAACAATATCATTAGCTCGTCCTCGTCCTCGTACCCGACCTCGACTTCAGATGCGAGATCTAGAAGAACCTCTACCATCTCGTTGTATAGGAGTGGTGGGACCCGGGACATTGTCGAACCGAAGTGAGATGATCCCATTTATGCCATCCTCTTGGGACTTCAATTTTGCTTGGTGTGATGTCTCTGGAAAACACTGTTTTGTTTGGAGGAGCATAATAGGCAGCATCTTCGTGAATGCTGATTTCATGTATTGAAAACGACAGCAAGTCTCCTTTTATGCAACGCTCTTGGCCATCTTTATAATATTTTATGCATTGGTGCAGAGATGACGGGACCATTCTATATTCATGAATCCACGGTCGGCCCAATAGAGCATTGAATGAAGTGTCTGAATCGATAATATGGAATTTTGCGGTTGTTACCAGATCACCAATCTTCATTGCTAGTGTTATGGATCCCAGGGCTCTTTCTCTTTTCTGGTTGAATCCCCTTAGCATCGTTTTATCGGCTGTTAGCTTGTTCGTGTCAATATCCAAATATGCTAACGTACGTAAATTCATCACGCTGATAGATGCTCCTGGATCCACTAACACTCTAGAGAGCAAGAATCTGTCGATAGTGACTGAAATGTAGAGAGGACGATTGTGATCTGTGGTGTCAAGTAGCAAATCTTCATCTGTAAAAGTTATTCCAGACTGTTCCTTTAACAACCAGACCTCGTCTAAGGATGAGCTGGCTAATTGAGCTAAGCAAATTTCCGGATCAAGTAAGGCCTTGATCAAAGCTTCTCTCATCTCCTTTGACAGGATCAGAGCGTCGCAAATGCTTGACTGACAACTTTCGAAGATGGGCTAGTACGTTATAATCCACTTTGCTATTTAAACTTCTAACATTATCCTCAACATGTGTCTCTTCTGTTGGTGGAGCTGGTTCCTCATGAGTAGGTGTCTGTTTTTCCTTTATTGTCGGATGCATTGTTGAGGGTAACACATTTCCTCTTCTCAAATACACCTCTATTATTTCTTCATCTTTTGTGTTAGACCCAGAGATTTCTCTTCCGGCATTGTGTTTAATTCTTCGGGAGTTGACTCTGAATCCGAAGACTCTAAGTCAATTGCAATTGGGGCTCCGTGAACCTCTAGGATGGCATGTTCACCTTCCGAGCTATCGTAGCCCGCATACTCGACATTTTCCTCTTTATTAGGGGATTCGAGATAGTTTTGCATGATTTGAGAATTGTCATTTGGATCGAAAATCGAATTAGGTTGGTTGTTATCACTTAACTCATCATCAGAAATAGTCAAAACGTAGCCAAAATAGAAATTCTTTGCATTATAAGTTCCCGGAGGGACGAAGAAATAATCATACAG